AGGGGCCCGGAGTGGGGAGCCAGCCTTGCGGGAGACAGACACCCCGAGTCCGGGGCGCTGCCGGCGCGTGGACACAGCGGGGGCTGCGGGCCGCGCGCTCCGGGCCTTCCCCGGCCGGCCTTCCTCGAGCCGCAGCGGTGGGGCCAGACCCTGCTGTGCCCGTTCCAGGAGAGACCAGCGGAGGGCCGTCCCAGCACCGGGGTCCCCCCAGCTCGCCCCTGCTGCTGGCTGTGGGGTCAGTGTCCCCCAGCGGGCGTGCAGGATGTGTCACCGTCCACCATCAGGTCCAGGAACCGAGGGTCACTGAGACGGCCTTCCTCCCACGTGGGGACAGTTGTGTTCCTTGAAGCCACCCCGGAGCCGCCTGGCTTGTCCCGTGTCTCAGACGGGGACAGCCTCTGGCCTGACAGGTGCGGTCACTCGGCCCCAGTCACAGGCCATCAACAGTCCACCAGGCGGCTGACCCGGGAAACACATTTCTTGAAACATTTTCTTACAGTCTTTTCTAGGCTAACATGGGAAAACCCTGCGCCATCCCTGCCGTGCCCGGCTGCTCCTCGGACAGCCCCACCCTGACACCCTCTTTCACTGGGAAATAGCTTAAGTGGTTTCTCTAAAAGGACTTTTCTGGAGGGGGGGGAGAAATCTTGTTTATTTTCATTTAACTGGTCTACTGGTGAGATTGCATGTTTTTAATAAACATTTTATTTTAGAATACTTTTAGATGTTCAGAAATGCTGCGGAGTCTAGAGTTGCCCCACCCCACACCGCCGCCCACACCCAGCGGTCCCCCTGCTGCCTTATGTAACCACAGCACATCTGTCACGGCTCAGGCGCTGAACACAACCAAGACGACCTTTTAAAAACAGCCACAGCACCTAAAAATAGTTGACAGCCGTTCCTTAGGAAGCTTCTGGTAGCAGACACGTGCCCCCACCCATCAGGCCACAATCCGAGACACTCCGGACTGGAACACGGATGCTGCTCGCCTGGACTAGGAGTCCTCGCCTGGGGACGGTGCTCGGCCACAACCGGACACGTTTCTGGTTGCCGCACTGGGGGAGCTCCTGGCATCGAGTGGGTGGGGCCAGTGATGCTGCTCCACCCCCACAGCGGCCAGGACGGCCCCCCAGAGAGTGACCCGGCCCCCATGTCAGCAGTGCCACGGCTGACACTCTCCCCAGGGCACTGGTCGCCTCCCAGCCCTGACTTCAGCCTCGGGTACGGCCCGGGCCTCTGCTTTGCACCCCCCCCCCACCACACACGAGCTTGCACGCAGTGGGCACGTTCTAGACGGCAGGGCTTGGGGCCTCGCAGGGAAGTGCCTCTGTCAAAGGGCCCCCTCTCCACGCTGCAGGCCCCGCCCATCCAGCCAGCCTGGTCCAGGGTGAAGAACACCCCTTATGGCAGCACACAGACCCGCTCCATCGCCTTCAGAGCCCATGGCAGACATGACCAATCAGCTGCTGATTGCCAGAGCAATTTTGCCAGAGCAGTCCTAGAATCCGCGCATCCCCAGCCAGTCACCCCGTTGACCCCTGGCCTTCGGCTTGTCCCCGAGTGCGGGACAGGCTGAGTCGGGCAGACCCGGGAGGCACTTCCTCACGGGGAAGGCCCTGTTCTGTCCTCACAGCGTGGGCCGTGTGGCTGCTGCGGCCCAGGCCTCACCAGCCCCACGAGACGGCGTTATGGCCATCTTGCTGCTGGGCAAACAGGCCCAGAGGCCCAGAAAGTGGCACGCAGCATTTGAACCTGGGTTTCTCTAACTTGGAGAATCCCACCTCCCAGGACCCCCCACTTCCCAGCCTCAGTTTCCCCACCTGCCCCCAGAGAGGTCTTCCCAGCTCCTCCGCGGGCATCAGGGGCCATCCCCCAGACTCACTGGGTGTGTGTTTAGCCAGGAGCCCCCAGTCTGGAGGGAGGCAGAGCCGGGTACAGACGCCCCCAGTGCAAGGAGTCAGGCCGGGGTTGGGGAGCGGCAGTGGGTCTGGGGAACCCCAGAAGGAACACTGAAGGCTCCCCAGAAGAGGGGTGCAGGGGCTGGGCCTGGAAGGACGGGGCTGCTGGGCAGAGGAGGCTAGGGCCAGCCTTGCAGGGGAGAAGGCAGCAGGTGCACCTGGGGTGGGGGCCAGGCAGGGCTGAATGCAGGCCCAGGAGCAGGACCCTCCCCTGGCACTGGGGAGCCATAGAGGGTGAGTGAGCAGGGCAGGGCTCACTCAAGCAGACGGAGGCACCGACCCCACCCAGCTGCCCCATGACCCCCACCCTAGCACCAGGTCCACTGGTGTCCCTTAGGCTGCCCCCACCCCCACCCCAGCCTCTGCATGCCCTTGGCTGTGTTAGAAGCTAAGAATAGACGCTCCCTGCCCAGCCCCCACCGGAAACCACAGCCCCGGGGGCACGTCCCCAGCCAGGCCTCTGTTCCCACCCTCAGCCGCCCCCCAGCTCAACCCTTCCCCAGCCTCCTGCGCTCCCACTGAGCGGGGCAGGGGATCGGAGGCCAGGAAACCTCCAGCCACCAGCCCGGGAGTTGGTGGGAGCCCAGAGCACATGTTCAAATGTCACCCACACCTGGCCTCGGCCACGTGGTTTCCTCCTCTGGGCCTCAGTTTCCCCATTTGTAAAATGAGCCCTTTGCCCCTGTGTTGCAGAGGCGTGGTGAGGCCAGAGTCAATGCAAGTCCAGTGCTCTTCCCTGACCCCTGTCCCAGAGGTTTCCCAGAAGGGACACTGTCCGTCTTATCTCGGGGCCGAGGAAGACGGAACGGAAGTCGCCCTCCATTGCTCTCCCCCCATCAGGAGAACCAGCCCCACATCCTCTTCCCACCACATCTGCCCGCCTTGCGATTCCCCAAGCCTCACACCCTCTCTTGCCTCCAGAGTCTCGCACATGTAATTTCTGCCGCTGCCATTTCTCTCAGAGCTGGGGAACTCCTACTCACCCCACAAAACCCCAGTGCTCACACCTTCTCCCCCAGCATGCCTTCCTGGCTCACCTCTGGGCTCCCCTAAGCCCTGTCACTTCCTCTGGCCCAGCCCTGACCGCAGGGAGCTGGACTGCCTGTGTCCTGCCCTGTCTTTCTCCAGCCTATGGCAACCCGGAGAGCAGGTCTGCTTTCCAGTTCTCCGTGGGAGCTCAGAATTGTCCCACCACACGGGCTGGGACACAGTTGCACTGGAGGAGGCTTAGAGGGTAGCAAGACCGCTGGAGAGATCAAGGCTTTACAGAGAAGGGGCCTTGGAGCCAGGGTTCTGCCAGATGCATAGGAGTTGGGGAGACTCCTTGCCAAGGAAGAGACATTCAGATTCAGGGGCTGGGGACTCAATGATGGAACGGGGGAGGGGCCGTCTGGAGGGACGCAGGGTGTGAGCAGCGCCCGGAAGGCCGGTGGGCGGGGAAGTTGGAGAAGGGGCTTCCGGACGTGGCCTAGGGGAGTTCAGGCCGGAGTTCATCCTCCTCCCTCGAAGCCTGGAGCCTGCACTCGTGTGCCCCTCCCAGGCCCGAAGGACTGCGCGGGGCGGGGTCCAGGCCACGCCAGCTAGTCCTGGCGCTGGAGGCCCGGGGACGCGGGGCCAGGCCCAAGTCGGCCCTCCGGCCCCAGCAGCCTCGAAGGCGACCCCAGGCCCGCGGGCCCTGCCCAGCGCCGAGGCCCGGGCGGCCACTCTCCTGCTCTCACGGCCTTGGGCTGGTGGGACCCGGCCGGAGCCCCGGTGAGCCCATCCCTGGCCTCGTCCTCAGTCGCTCCTGCGGTGGGGGCTCTGAGGTCCCTCCCCACCCCGCTCTGGGGACAGAGGGAGAGCTCGTCCCCGCCCCCACCCCACGGCAGGCGGCTCTGCTAGGGGCTTTCCTTCCTCGGCCAAGGCCACCTCCCGGCCTTTGTCCTCGCAGGACCCTCCCCCCGAGTGCTGTTCCCCACCGCCCTCCCGCCCACCTGCTCTCAGCAGGCTGCTCAGGAAGCTTCTGGCTGCAGAGTCTGGTCCCCCCTCCCCCGCAGACCCCTGCACCGCCCCCCCCCAGCCCTGGCAGGGGCTTCACACAGACCCTGCATTGATTAAGCACCTAATGTGTACCAGGCCCAATCCCGGCGGGTTCACCAGCTCGGAGCCCTGGGCCCCTGGGCCGGGGTCGGGGCGCCCTGGGGGGCTGACCCGCCCGGCCGGACCCCGCCCCGCCCCCTCGGGCCTTGGGTGCTGCCCGGAGGGGAATCACGCGGGCCGGCGGCGGGAGGGGGCCCGGCCAGCCCCCTACCCCCCAGCCCTCCCCACCCGGCCACCGCGCCCCTGTCCCTGCGGCCCGGGGTCGCCTCCCCCAGGAGCCCGCGCGGCCTCCCCGCGGGCCGGGGGGCGCCCACTGACCAGCATCAGCCGGGGCGGCCGAGGGGCGTGGCCAGCGCCGGGGGCGGGCTGATGAGACAGACGGACGGACGGAGGGAGCCGGAGAGAAGCGGACGCAGACAGACAGCGCGCGGTCGGCAGCGCGGACCCCCTCCAGGCCCCGAGGGGTCCTCGCGCCCCCCAACGGCCCCCTCCAGCCCGGGACCCCGCGCACCGGGGCATCGGGGCCGCCGCGCCCTCCGTCTGAGCCCCAGCGACGTGGCAGCGCCGGGTCCCCTGTGCGCACGCCCCCGCCGTGACTCAGTTTCCCCAGGGGCCCCGGGGCGCCCTGCGCCCCGCGCCCCCCTCCTCCCTTCGCCCTGCGACAGCGCGGCGACCCCAGCACAGGGACCCCAGCGCAGCCCATCGATCACCATCTCCATGCCCATCGCCAGGTAAGGATGCGCGGGCCAGCCGGAGGCGGGGCTGGGATCAGGCAGGTGTCCGGGGTGTTTCCTGCGGTGACCCACCCTGCTGTGGGTGTGTCACCCTGGGCGGTGACAGCGGCGGCCGCTGGGTGTCCTGGGGCGTTGATGAGACCGAGTCTGTGCCCAGAGTGTGGCGTTGTCCTGCTGCCCGCCCTGGGCCGTGGGTGCTGTGTCCCTTTGTGGGACGAGGAAGTGCACGTGTGTGGGTGTCCCTGGGTCTCTTCGGGGCCACTAGGGGTCCTCGAGGCCGCAGGGAGGGTGCTGAGGGGCTGGCGTGGCTGTGAGCGAGCGTGTCTGTGTGTGCTCACGCGATGGTGGCCCACGTCCGTGCCATCTCTGTGTGCATCATTAAAAACCAGCCGTGTGGCCTGGGGCCTGTTCCCTCATCTCACACCCGCCAGGCAGCCCTGAGTGGTGAGCCCTGGGAGGATGCCCATTAGACAGATGAGGAAACAGAGGTTCAGAGGGGACCACATGAGTCGAGGCCGAGGCTTGGCTCGAAGCGAGGCAGGCTGACTGTGGAGCCCCGCTCTGCACCCTCCGGGGTGGGGGCCCAGTTAGTGTCACAAACAGGAAAAGTTCCCGGAAATTGAGCCTTGTGGTGGGGGGAGGGGGCGGGCCTGGGGGCCAACCGTGTCCCTGCGTGTCTGTGTGTGTCTGCACAGGCCTCTGCAGCTGCATGAGGGCGTGGCGGGGGTCCCTACCCTTGGGCAGGCGGATCTGGTCCCTGCTGTCTCGTGCCAAAGGGCGTCATCATGGGTCACCAGGACTCAGCCAACGGGCCGAGGTCACACAGCGCATCAGGGCCCCTGAGCACCTGACCCCGTGAGCGCAGCCGGGGGCAGGAAGGGCACGCCAGGCAGGGCGCACAGCCGTGGCAAAGGCTCAGAGGCAGGAGCGAGCGGGGCCTGGGAAGGCCAGCCAGCAGGCGAACGGGTCTCCTTGTCACCCCATTTCACAGCAGGGGGAAACTGAGGCTCGGCAGAGTTGAACCCCAGCTTGGCAGTGGCAGACTGGGGACTCCAGGCCAGATTGTCTGAGGTGGTCGCGGCCCCTGGGGGACATGGTGGGCCCAGGGCGTGGGGACAGGCAGGCCGGGTGTGGGGCGTTGAGTGGGAGATGGCCGGCTCGCCGGAGGGGGAGGGGAGGTGGTGACGAGAGGGACCATCTGGCAGCGGAAGGGCCTGGCGCTTGCGAGCCAAAGCTCACATTCCATCGGGCGCCGGGCGTGGGGGGAGCCGGCCTGGTGCCTGCGCCTCCGGGCCTCGCCGAGCTGGGCCCACGGAGTGTCTGTCCTCCGGAAGGTAGCCAGGAGCCGGCACGGAGAGTTCTGGAACCCAGGACCCAGCCAGATTCCCGTGAATGTTCCGGACCCTCGGCCCCTTGGAATTCTCAACTCTTGAGGCCTTCTGAGTTCCAGAACTCGGAAGTTCATCGGAATTCCACAACCTTGGACCTTCAAATCCCCCGGCTCTCGGGCTGTGGATGCCTGGGTTTGTCCAGCAAATCCGGGGCGGGATTCTGGAGTCCGTCCTTCCCATGGGGCACAGAGAGGGAGATCGATCTCCCCAAGGGCCGCACAGCGCTGCTCTGGACCTCGGGCGGGGATGAGGACTGTCCCCCGGCCAGTGTGGCGGGGGGAGCGAGGCCCTGCCCGGTGTCCCCACTGGCCCGTCAGCCTGGGAACTTGAGCCGGCCGCTTTTACCTGAGCCCGTGGGGGGCCTGGAAACCGCAGGCTGTGGCCAGAGGGAGGCGTGCCAGTTTCTAGTCTCCCCCAGGCCAAGGGCTCTGGGTCACAGATAAGGATGGGTGCCAAGAGGACCGTGAGACCCAGGAAGGGCTGACAGTCACTTGGGGCTGAGGCCGGGGCAGTGGCCGCAGTGGCAGCCCGAGTCCCCAGGAATGTTCAGAAGGAACGCATGTGAGCTCTCGAGGGAGGAAGCGTCCGTCTGAGGAGGAATCCAAGTGCGGCCAAATCTGAGACGGCAAAGGGCGCGCCCCGCCCTGGAGTGGAGGCTAAGATCGCCGGTCCCCGTGGAAAGCCCCCACCCAGCCCAACCCACCTCTCCAGGCCTCAGTTTCCCCCCTCCAGGCCCCGCCTCCCCCCACTGGTGGTGGCCTGGGAGGGAAGGTCGGGACGCCTGTTGGGAGCCGGGTAATTTATGAGACTTGATAAGGAGTCGCCGAGTGGAAGGGCTGGGCTGAGGTCAATTAACAAGATGTGTCGAGAAGGCCACTGGTCACCCACTGGACACATTCTTGTCACAGGCCCCCTGGGGGCCAGCTGCGACGTGCTGGTCCCTGTTCTCGGATTAACCCATTCCATCAGCAGCCCCATGTTACAGGAAGGGAAACTGAGGCTCAGAGCGGGGACGTAGCGGGCCCAAAGTCAACGAGAGGGTCCGTGGCAAAGCCAGGATTGGAATCCGATCTGACCGCCTATTTAGAAACTTCTGTTCCTTCTTAAAGAAAGTTGCAGCCATCGCGACCTTCCACGCCCCCCTCCACCAGCCTCCACCAGGCGGGCGGCTTTCGAATCCCTTACACACATCTCTGTGTAGGCGGGCCTGAGTTTAAATCTCAGATCCGTTGCCGCCGGGCTGTGTGGCCTCAGATAAGTGGTTTAACCTCTCTGTGCCTCGGTTTCCCCCCTCTGCAGAACGGGGATCACGATAGGGCCTCTGTGAGCTGTAGCTGCCCGGCCCCTCGCATCTCCCACGGTGGGCCCGCCTCCCCACCTTTGCCCACTCTGGTCCCCCGCCTGGTGCCCCCTCACGGCTGACACGGGGGGCTCGTGTGTCCCCAGAGTGGGAGGCCAGGGACCCGGGGCGGCCTGTGTCCTACCCGGTGTGTCATTTTGGGGAATCGGGGGCTGTTTTGAATGCTGTCTTATCTCGACTCCACGGCCCCATGTCTGGCTGAGCTGTCCACACCCGCGGCCGCCCCCCCTCATGCCGCGTAACGTGCCCCTCTGCTGCCGTTTATAGCCCGTCCCGGGGGACCCCGTCGCTCCAGATGAGCTGTTTTCTGTTCCCACAGTGGGACTGGATTTCTGGGTTTGTTTCTTAGTATAAATGCGGTGCCACAAAGCGAGAAAAACAGATTCCAACAGGTGCGACAAAGGCTCCCCCAAAACACCCTCGGGGTCGGGGCTCCCCAAAACACGTTCACGAGAAATCGTGACCCCCGGGGCCCGCCTCGGCCTCTGGCTGCCAGCCAGCGCCCTGCCCGCCCTGGACACGGCCGAAATCGGTCCTGGATCCTGCAGTCCACAGGGGACTCGGATGGGTGACCAGGGGACAAGAGAGTTCAGAGAGAGGAAAAAATCATTTGCCTGGGATCACACAGTGGGCACCGGCGCTGGCGTTCAAACCCAGGGCTTCTCGGCCCTTCTCGCCGACCCAGCAAATACTAATGGGTGTCCTCCAGGGGTCCCAGAGGACACAGAACGGGTCCTCCTCCTTGAGGGTCACTGAATCTGGGCAGAAAGTCAGAGTGGGGGCCGGCCCCGTGGCTTAGCGGTTAGGTGCGTGCGCTCCGCTGCTGGCGGCCCGGGTTCGGATCCCGGGCGCGCACCGATGCACCACTTCTCTGGCCATGCTGAGGCCACGTCCCACATGCAGCAACTAGAAGGATGTGCAGCTATGACATACAACTATCTACTGGGGCTTTGGGGGAAAAAAAAAAGAGGAGGATTGGCAATAGATGTTAGCTCAGAGCCAGTCTTCCTCAGCAAAAAGAGGAGGATTAGCACGGATGTTAGCTCAGGGCTGATCTTCCTCACAAAAAAAAAAAAAAAGAAAGAAAGTCAGAGTGGTAGTAACACTTCCTGAGTGAGAAGTGAGAGAAGTCAGGAAAGGCTTCCTCAAGGAGGGGGTATTTGAGCTGGGGCATTGAAGGTTGCATAGGAGTTCACCAGGACCACCCAGATTAAGATGCAGAACGAATCACCGGCAATTCTCTCTGCCTTGCCCCAGGTGCGCCTGAGCCAATGCCCGCCTGCCCTGCCTGCAGCCTCAGCCCAATGGCGTGGTGACCCTCCCTGCCCCGCTCTGGCACCATGTGGGCCAACGGCAGCTCCCTGGGGCCCTGCTTCCGGCCCATGAACATCACGCTGGAGGAGCGGCGCCTGATCGCCTCCCCCTGGTTCGCGGCCTCCTTCTGCCTGGTGGGCCTGGCCTCCAACCTGCTGGCCCTGAGCGTGCTGCGGGGCTCGCGGCCGAGCGGCATGTCCCCCCGGTCCTCTTTCCTCACCTTCCTCTGCGGCCTGGTCCTCACCGACTTCGCGGGGCTGCTGATCACCGGTGCCATCGTGGTGTCCCAGCACGTGGTCCTCTTCGACTGGCAGGCCGTGGACCCCGGCTGCCACCTCTGCCACTTCATGGGTGTCATCATGGTCTTCTTCGGCCTGAGCCCGCTGCTGCTGGGGGCCACTATGGCCTCGGAGCGTTTTCTAGGCATCACCCGGCCCTTCTCGCGCCCGGCGGCCGCCTCGCCGCGCCGCGCCTGGGTCACGGTGGCGCTGGTGTGGGCGGCGGCGCTGGCGCTGGGCCTGCTGCCCGTGCTGGGCCTGGGCCGCTACACTGTGCAGTACCCCAGCTCCTGGTGCTTCCTCACGCTGGGCGCCGAGCCGGGCGACGTGGCCTTCGGCCTGCTCTTCGCCCTCCTGGGCGGCCTCTCGGTGGGCCTGTCGTTTCTGCTCAACACCGTCAGCGTGGCCACGCTGTGCCACGTCTACCACGGGCAGGAGGCCGCCCAGCAGCGCCCGCGGGACTCTGAGGTCGAGATGATGGCCCAGCTCCTGGGCATCATGGTCGTCGCCAGTATCTGCTGGATGCCGCTGCTGGTGAGTGGCCGGCGGCGGGGGGGGGCGCTGCTGGGGACTCCCAACACACTCGGTGCCCAAGCCCCAGTTCCTTCAGACTGGCTTTAAATCCTCAGCCTCTCGTCCGCCCGAGGAAAGGTGGGCACGTGCCCCAGGGTTCATGTGTCCTTCTTGAGGACCTCAGGAGGAAGGCACAGATGACCCCATAACTGGGGGCAGGACAGGGGCAGAAGCAGCATCCTGGGAGTATCAGAGAAGGCTTTCCAGAGGTGGGGCGTGGGAGCTGGGGCTTTGAAGGATGCATAGGAGTTTACCTGCTCCACTAAACTGGGGAAGGCATTCTGGGCAGAATCACTGAATCTTCAAACATTTTCTGAGTCTACTTTGTTCCCAGTTCTGGGCTGAACCCCAGCCCTGCCCAGATTTGCCCCGAGTCAGGGAGGCTTGCCTGAAGTCCATCCACTGATCGGTGTTGTTGACCCATTTGGGATGGTTATTTTCTCATTTCTGATGGAGTCGGACAAGTCTGGTGTCAGACACTTGGTTTCCAACCCATTTCCCACAAGGACTTGCTGTGTGGCTCTGGTGACAGGCTTGCCTCCTCCACCTCAGTCTCCACTGATTATGGGGATTCGGACTGCAAGGATGAAATGAACTCATTCATTCGTTTGTTCCTTCCACAAACGTTTGTTGAGTGACTGCTGGATCCCGGGCTCTGGTCTGGGCACTGAGGACACAGCAGCAGGAAATAAAGTGACAAAATTTCTTCCTCCCTGGACCCATAGGCGGTGGGGAAGACAGACAATCAACACGGCGTATAAATGCGTGGCGGGGTTGATACTGGAAGTGATAACAGCTGAGACAAAACTGAACCCGTGGGTGGGGCAGGTGGCAAATTTCTTGTAGCTTTTCTCGTTTGTTTGGCTCAAAATGTTTTTGCCTGTGTAAAGGGTTGGAGGAAAAAATCGAAAGAAGCCTCGTAATTTGTGACACGTGAAAATGACATGAAATTCAAATTTCGTGGTCCAAAAATAAAGTCTTGTTGGAACGCAGCCACACCCACTCATTTCCGTTAGCTTTCACGCTACAGCGGCAGAGCTGGGTGGTGGTGACAGAGACTGTGTTTCAAATGTTGACTCTATGGCCCTTCCAGGAAGTTCGCCACCAAAGGGGACTCGGGAAATGTTTCATGACTCAGCGATTCTATCTAGGATGATTTCCCGGTGTTTATTGAGCAGTGAAACTCCTATTCGTGCTTCAAAGCCCCAGCTCCAATGGTTCAGAGCAGGGCAGGGCCCATTCTGGGTGCTCCCAGAGACTGGGGGCCGGAGGAGGGAGGAGGAGGAGGCGGGGTGGAGAGGTGACACTTGAGCAAAGACCCAGAGGAGGTGACGGAGTGAACTGAGTGGAGATCTGGGGGGAAGTGTTCCAGGCAGAGGGCACAGCCTGTGCAAAGGCCCTCAGGCAGGACCGGGCCTGGCATGTTGGAGGAACAGCGAGGAGGCCCATGTGGCTGGAGCAGAGGGAGCAAGGGGGAGAGGGAGGAGGGAGGGAGGGAGGGGACGGGGCAGGTCGTGCAGGGCCTGGGGGGCCGCAGGGAGGACTTGGGCTTCTCCCCCGAGGGAGGGGGGAGCCCTGGAGGGCTGTGGGCAGAGGAGGGAGGACCTGACTCAGGGGCTCACGGGCGCCCTCTGGCTGCTGCCCAATAAATAATAATGATAACAATAATAATAAGGGAATAGAGAAGCGTCATGGGCTCTATGAGACCAGGCCTGGGAGGGACGGCCCAGGGACAGGACAGGAGCACATTTCTGAGCCAGAAGCACCAGCCCGGAGCTGCGACTCTCCTGGGAACTTCCCCCCTCGCCAGGCACAGGTTCCTCGCAGGCTCCCTGCTTCCCTCCCTGGTTGAGATGCACACACCGGTCACCTTGCAAGGACCCTGACCCCCAAGAGACCCCGAAGGCCCACACCGCGTACACGCTGCCCAGACGCCTCCTCCTCCCTCCTCCGGCCTCCAGGCTCTGGGAACACCAGACTGGGCCCTGCCTGCTCTGAACCACTGGAGCTGGGGCTTTGAAGGACGAATAGGAGTTTACTTGCTAGACCAAAACAGGGAAGTCATCCTAAGTAGACGGTTCCTGAGCCCCCTTTGTGGGCAAACGTTTTCATAAAGGGCCATAGAGGAAACATTTTTAACACGGTCTCTGTCACCACCACTCAGCTCGGCCGTCATAGCTCGAAAGCAGCCACAGATGACCCAGAAACAAGTGGGCCTGGCTGTGTGCCAATGGGACTTGACTTACGGATGCAGAAATTTGAATTTTGTGTCATTTTCACGTGTCATAATATGATCCTTTCTAGTTTTCTCTCACCATTTAAAAATATTCTTAGCAAAACGACAAAACAAAAAAAGCTAAAATACACAAAACAAAAACGGGTGGCAGTCCAGATTCGGCCCATGGGCCCACTCCTGCTCTAAACACTCTCATGGCTCCCTATCGCCCCGGAAGAAAGGCCCATGACACTCCCTTCAGACTCGCCGGGGACACTACGTCCGTCCTCTAGTGACCGACCCCCGGGCCGGGTCAGGCGGCCCCTCTGGGCTCCCACGGTGCCCACGCGTCCTCCGTCGTGCTCTGTGACCCCCAGCCAACGCTGTCACCTGTCCCGACTGCCCTGTGAGCCTCTGTGGGTGGGACCTGGGTCTCTTGGCCACTGCAGTGTCCCCAGCACGTAGTAGGGGCTCAGGGAACAATTTTAATATAACAATTTTAATACTATATGAATTATAATTATATTTAAGGTAATATAAATTTTAAGTACAATTATAAAATATAATACACATTATAATTAATTATTATATTGTGATTGTATTATGACTAATAGTTCATAATTATATCAATTATTATATAATATGTAATCACATTACATAGTTATTATATAATATGTAATCACATTATGTGTTATATAATTGTTAAATACTATATAATATATATGACTATAATCATGTACTATTAATTAATACTTAATAATTATATCAATTATTATATAATACAAAGTT